GATATTTTGCATAACAAAGCTCTTTTAAACTAGGAACATTCGGCCAAGGCTTTTTAAGCACAACATTCCAATAGCTACGTGCAAATTGTTGTGCATTATCTCCACCAAGACGACACATGCTTAAGGGAAGGTGAAGCCAACAATTTAACCATTTCTGATATAATTCGAGCCCTTTTTGAATTCCTTGTTCTAATTTTTAAACCAATATTTCAATTTTTAAATCATCTATAACTTTCATACTCTGCAGAAGCTCACCTCCAAAAAATGAATAAAGACCTTCCAAGGTACTCGTGAGCTTACTTGTTGACTTAACAATAAAATCCGGCATTTGGTATGCACGACGACCAGACGGTAAACATTTTAGTGAGTTGTCTGACTCTACAATTCTCGGTTGAGGATCATAATCGACAAGGAATTCAGTAAATGGACGGTAAAATTTCTGGCCAAATTTCACTAGACATTGTATTTCGATATTCAATTCCGGGTCGTCAAGCCAATTTTGAAAAAGCTCCCATTTTTGAAGATACGAACTTGGAACTTTTTTTAGATTTCTTAATTTTGGAAGGAACCACGCAACAAATTCAATATGAACTTCGCGCCTTTCAAGAAATTGTTCAGCCATAATTAATTCATATTGCCATCGTGATTGTAGAGGATGCTGATATTTATCTAGTTGATAATCGAGCCGTTCTTTATAAAGACTCTTGATCGTTTCACCTCTTATATTTAGTGGTAAATCTTTATCACTATGGTTGTAACCATCATGTAACAACCATGTCAAATAAAGGAGGTTAAATGGATGCTGTGTTTTGGAAAATCCGGTAGTTGCTGGAAGTTTACCGAAGGCCGTTTCTTCAAAATTGTTTAAAATTAAATGTAGAACATGTAATCCACAAAGAATTCGAAAACAATTACTATTAGCCAATCGATTAAATTTTGTTACAGCATCTCCAGCTGAGCCGCTCATGTAATTTGTATTATCAGAAAGGAAAGTAAGACATCGTGAAATATTAAGGTTATATTTCGTACAAGATTCAAAAATAGCCTGACTAACTGTGTTGGAATTACAGCGTTGAAGGTCTTTTGTTTCTAAAAGCATGAAATCGGGTATATTTTTTTCTGAGTTCCAGAATATGAAGCAATTTACTAATATTTTTTTTTCACCTTGACCTGATTCATCTACCATTATACCGAGTGTGAAATAAATTGACTGATCGGCTTTCTGGAGTATATTTCTCACATGTAATTCTGATACCTCACGATTTCATCGGCTAATAGTCGCAGCAGAGATCCAAGATTGTGAATCATCTTCTGTTAAAAAATTAAAGATAATCTTCATACTAGCTGCGGTGATATTAAAAGATATTTGGCCGATTTGGGAAACCTGCATGGTAAGGTCAATAAAGTTTGTGTTATATTCTTTTTTATTTTTGCTAACTAAATTTCTAATAACAGTTTTCATATCATTGCATTTCAATTCTGGTGGACGCCTGGCCTTTGCACGAATTTGAGATATATGCCGTTGATGTTTACGCTTAAATTGTACAAGAGAACCATTGAGCTTTCGAACTTTATGAATTATACGATTATTCATTCGTTGCAATTTTCGTATATTTTGTTTAAGTTGCTTGTTTTGATGATTTATTAAGTCTAGTGACTTCCCGGGTTTGTAAAGAGAATCTGATATATACTGAAATGCTTTGTTTTGTATATAGGGAGATATAATGTGATCCTTATTTTTTCCATATGGATATCTCATTGTGCGTAGAAGATGAGATAGTGATTTATGATCTGTTTCAGGTATGTCTTGAAGAGAATTGGTGACTGTGTTATGTAATTTAGAGGAATTAGATTCATTAACATTCAGAACATTAAATATTATATCATGTATCATTTTAAGTTCTTGTTTAGTAATTTTATTAAGGTATTTTATTATTTTATTAATAATTTTCTGACGTCGAACCAGGCTATGCTTTTCTGCAAAAGATTTAAGTGCACCTTCTAATTGTAAGCTATGTTTTGAATATTTAGGCATGATGTGTAAAAGGTTCAGTATTAAAATTATAATCAAAGATACTTCTCAAAGTTACGCTTTTAGATCTTTTATTATAAAGGCAAATTTGAACAAAACCAGTTATTTTTTGTCACGGATGATCGTGAAATCGAATAATGGTGAAATTATGTACGATTTTTAAAAATTTTTGGGTCTCTCTTGTCGGCTCTTTTTATAGTTAAGTTAGGATTTAGGGTTAGTTATTAGTAAAAGAGTATAAGTGGATTTTGGTAGGGCTTATATTTTAAAATCGAGACCTCTAAATTTCATCATCATCCGATTTTATGATCATCCGCGACATTTTTTATACATATACAATTAAGCATTCCAAAATAAAACTCGAGACCAGCCTTTTGATACCTTGTATTTAGAGGACAATAAGGACAATAAGAAAAAATTGCATTTATAGGAGCCTAGAATTTTATAGGGCGCTTTCAAAATTAAATACGGACCTTCTTACCTATTGCCTTACTATAATTATAGAGTGCTGAAGTAATAGAGTATCTTTCAGATCATTCGTAAGTATTTCATGATCTGTTGCATGAATCGTCATGTAAAAAAAATTATT